GTTTCCTTGGGTGTACACAGGTATGCCCAGGTACAGGTGCATTAGTGTGTATTTGGTGGCTAAAGGTCAATGCCAACATCATCTTTACTCACTACCTACCTATTTTCTTTTTATTTTTGCTTAGCCTCTCTCACTGTACCTGGAGCACACTGATTGGCTAGGTCGACTGTTCTGCAAGCTGAAGGGACCTCCTGTCCCTGCATCCAAGCACTGGGAAAATAAGCACATCCCACAAGGCCTGGTTTTTAAATGTGGGTGATGGGCATCTGAACTCAGATCTTCATTCATGAGTAGCCAGCACATCACAGAATGAGACATTTAATTGTAAATAACTAAGATTGACAAAGTAAAAGAAAAACAGAATAAAGGAAAATAGAGTGATAGTTGGTAGGGGAATATATACATATGTATGTATGCATGTATATATCATATATGTGTGTATGTAGATATACATATATATTAGATTTCTCTATATGTCTGTATGGTTGTTTATCAGTGTATCATATATGAATGCATATATGTAGAATGTCTAATTTCATTTTACAATGTAATTAGTATATTTTGATCAATTTCTACTAGATGAACAGCTCTGGAAACCCACTTCCATTATTAAAAGCCATTTGTTGCTGTGACAATTTACCTTGTAAAACCAACTTCAGAAAGGGTTTATTTTGTCACATAGTTCCAGGGGGTAGTCACGATGGTGAATAAGTCATAGTTGACAAGAGCTTCAGATCACTGGTTGCACTGTGTGTGCAGTCCACAAGCAGAGACAAATGAATATAGTTCTCAGCTTGCAGTATCCTCCTTGTAATTCATGTATTTATTTTACATCTCAGCAGCAGCCTCCTCTCCATCTTCCCTCCCCAGTCTCTCCTCCTTATCTTCTCCACTCTCACTCCCCCAACCACTCCTCTGTTACTGTTCAGGAAAGGGCAGGTCTCCCATAAGTATCAATAAAACATGGCACATCAGGTTGTAGTAAGACTAAGCAGCTCTCTAGGTATTAAGACTGGGAAAGGTGACGCAGTATGAGGGGTAGGGTCCCAAAAGCCAATAAAAGGGTCAGAGACAGCTTCTGTTACCCCTGTTAGGAGTCCTAGGAGGAAACCAAGCAATATAACATTTATAAAAACTGTAACATATGTAGTGACTAGGTCAGTCTCATGCAAGATCCCTGGTTGTTGGTTCAGTCTATGTGAGCCCCTTTTAACCAAGGTTAGTTATTTGTTTGAGCCTTGCTATGGTGTCCCTTGACCCCTCTGGCTCCTACACTCCTTCCTCAACTCTTTAGCAGGATTCCCAAAATCCTAAATCCTAATCTCTCTCTCTCTCTCTCTCTCTCTCTCTCTCTCTCTCTCTCTCTCTCTCTCTCT